GAGAGAGAGAGAGAGAGAGAGAGAGAGAGAGAGAGAGAGAGAGAGAGAGAGAGAGAGAGAGAGAGAGCGTGGGTTAGCTTACCGATCCACTCATCCATGTGGAGTAGTCGCTGACAAGGTAGGATGCTAGGTTAGCGAGTTCCTCCACCTCCCCCATGCGTCCCGCGGGAATACGAGACAGCATCAGCTTACGGAAGCGCCCCGTCGGGTCAAGCCTGCTGAACGCCCCCTAGTATTCGAAACAAAAGAACGTCTCTGTCAGTGGGCGGACGACTGCCGTCGTTGAACCGTACGGGAGGATTTGAGAATTCGTACGTACTTTCATATATTCATTTGTTCTATTTTTCGTTGGATAAATTTACGTATTTAGCTCGGTGGCACGAATTATTCTAAAAAGCTATCATGTATATCTCGGCCTTCTGTCAGCGTAGACACTTCTCGGGCTACACTCAGAGCAAGGTGTTGATCAAACAGAGAAAAACCTAGATAATGATCACTAAATAGAAGTTCCAAGTGTCCTTTATAGACACGTGCCTGTTCTATATTAGATAGCTGCTATTTCACTATATAACTGCTACTCAACACTCAAGAGAAATGCGCAAAAGCATTGATTATAGGCAGGTGTTTGTTCTATAGAGCTGGTTTCTCTGTATAGTATCAGTATGACTATTTCACAGAGTAGTACACTACTGTATACGCAGTATATTTCGCGGTGGTTTAATTTTCGTGAATTTGGCGAACGTGTCCTTGACCGTGAAAATAACAACACGCTGTTCTTCACCGATTCGGGAATTCACCGATCGCAAAATTAACCACTCGCGAAATTGTCCGTCAAGTCTGAATTTGCGAAAATATCTGTACGCGAAAAATATGGCGTATACAGTATTCTCCTACTTCCACTACTTCTATAGATGTGTTCGCTGTGGCACGTTTGGCAGTAAACGGGCCGCGCGCCTCACTAAACACTATGGACAAACCTTGGTCTCGATGGGTCCCGGAGCTATGCAGTTAAATCTCATTCCGTAACGACCCCACTCTGACGCCAGCGACCTGAAATGATCGTGATGTTAAAAACGATCTATTGTGGATCATCGACTACCTAAGAATTACAGACTACACGCACGCACACGCGCACATGCACACATGCACGTACATGCACGCCTACACACCCATACACGCACACAAATAAATTTCACATGTACAGGCATATGCTATACACCGCATGCATATTTCCAAATATTTTACTCATACTCAAGTCTCCTATTATGACCTATAGCAAACATATGCTTGTTTCTGGCAAAGAAAAACAAACATAAGGCATATGCGCGGGGTTGAATAACAGGGGGTGAATAACAGCAGTTCTGATAATCTGAGATGACATGACCTTGACAGACAATTTGTCACTATTCGTCCCTGATACCATGAATGTGAGAAACATGGAATACGTTCGTCACCTACCTGTACAAGGCCTCCACGCCGGCTTTCGCAGCTGCACTCGGGACGACGAAACCGGAACCGTGCTGCGTGTATGTGGTTGTGATGGCAAGGAACACGCCACCTAGGTTCACGAGACAAGAGAACGTCAGATCGTTAGTCAACGATAATGTAGTCCCATCAGTTATTCATCAGTTAATTACTAATTACTAATTAACTAACCTAAGTTTAACCTAAACAGTAATTAAGTACCTTCAGCGCATCAAACAATAGGCTAGTTGAATCTACGTGGGTGTGATCGCAGTGGATAAGCATGCCATAGAACGGTGACGACCCAAGTCTCCATTTCACACATTCTTTAGTCTGTGACCACATTTTATACCCAAAGAAATGCAAATAGAAGAAGCAGAATTTATGCTGTCTCTCTCTGTTTCGCTCTCTCGCTCTCTCTCTCTCTCTCTCCATCGCTCTCCCCTCCCTCTCTCTCCTCTCTCTCCCCTCCCTACCCCTCTCTTTCCCGCACCTTTCTGCGCCTCGATCAGTCTCTTCCCGACGTCCAGCACGACATAGGCCGTCCCGTTCAGCACTATGTCTGTGACGGCGCGCCATCCCTTCGGCGACAGACGCTCCGTCGGAGAGACGAAGTTTCCCGCCGCGTTGTTAACGACGATGTCCGGTAGTCCGAGGGTCGCGACGCAATCGTCCACCGCGGTGGCGACGGCCGCGGGGTCCCGCACGTCCGCCGCGATCGCGTGCACCTAAAACCAGAGACGGCACGTTAGGCGCGCACGTCCACCGCGATCGCGTGCACCTAAAACCAGAGATGTTAAGCGCTGCGTGTATATCTACTCTTGTAGGATGCACCTAAATCCAGAAAGGGTTCAAGTGCAAAATCATCATGTGTGAGTAAAAACTGTTCAATGTATTTACAAACGTGACAGGTATCTTTTTAGCTTCCTGTATTAAGATCAAATATATACTACTATATATATATATATACAATTCACGTTTCCATCTGTACATGGAACATCTTTTTTTCAAAATTACGCGACATATGCAGATGACACATTTAATCGTGAAAACGCTCAGAAACTATCTTTTATAGAAGGCTCATTCTATAGTTACTCTCTGTACAATTTCCTACAATCCTACGTCTTTCGCACACTGGCGTGATACTCCCTAGGGCTGTAACGATACACAAGTTTCTCGATTCGATTCGTGTCTCGATATTTGCCTCTCGATTTGATTCCTTCGATTCGATTCCCAAAATATTGAAATGTTATCTTATTTTTTATATTTTCATTATTTTGCAATAACAAGTGCTGCGGCGCGACAGCGCTCATCTCACGTCTACTGCGGTGACTCTGTGGTGAGGTGGTGGGATTCTAGTAAACCCTGTTAGTCCCAAATGTGTTCACATACGCGCCGAAACAGTGGAAAGCACAGGGATGGTATCAGGAACCTTCTCGAAGGAATGTTCGTTGGGATCGTTATGAAAGTTGCCACGAGATGACGCGTACGTTTAAGTGTCTTAAGATTAAAGATGGAAGCTCCCATCGTACGTAGTAGCAACAACTATTTGCAAGACAGAATAGGTAAGAACTCATCCATTTACCTACGCAAGCCTACAGGCTGAAATAGAGAGCTGCCACCTGTAACTAATTAACGCAGGCAACAACTACACAGTACTATCACCACCACATGCACTGGCAGTGGCCACTGGCAGTGGCATAAGTTACATCAAGAGCTAATAAATACCTAGTGTACAACGAAAAAACGGGAAAATAGTGCTATTTCACAGCAATATTATTCTACTTTGCCTGCGAGTCTAGAATAATTTTATGGTATTGCATTAAGCAGAATTCTTTAAGGGGGAACATTCACTCCTTAACTTAAGGTATAGGGAGGAAATGCAGAATTGCGGCACAAATCTAAACGGCTCGACCTAGGCTCGTGATAGTTGGTGTATAGCATCATGGTAGGAAAAGCAATCACTGTGCTGAAATTGGAGGTTACAGGTCAAAGGTCAATGGGCACAGGGCAGATTTTAGACATTTTCTGAGGACATGGTCTGACGGAGCGATTGAAAAACTTTTTGTTTCAGAGGTGACCTAGCATTTTTATGGCATTATTGAAAAAGACCATGAGATCTACTTTCTCTGCTGACATGCGAGAGTAAGTGTCAGATAACCTTTTGACCCTCAAGAGGAGGGTTAAACATGGAGTTGTTGACTGTTTGTTAGAAAGAATTTGACTGCCGGGTTTGCTAGTGAATCTATACATGCCTGGATGTATGAGGCTACAATGTCACAGTGAAATTTCAAAAGCTAAATTTGGTTAAAGAAGGTTTATGCTCCTTAAATCGTATAATTTCTATGGCATTCTGTACTGTCAGTATGTTACATGTACCGTATGCCACTGCCAGTGGCTACTGCCAGTGCATGTGTTGGTGGTACTGTGTAGTTTTTGCCTGCGTTAATTGGTTACAGGTGGCAGCTCTCTATTGCAGCCTGTAGGCTTGCCTAGGTAAATGGATGAGTGCTACCTATTCTGTCTTGCAAATAGTTGTTGCTACTACGTACGATGGGAGCTTCCATCTTTAATCTGAAGACACTTAAACGTACGCGCCATTCGTGGCAACTTTCATAACGATCCACCGAAACATTCCTGATACCATCCCTGTGCATTCCACTGTTTCGGCGTGTATGTGAACACATTTGGACTAACAGGGTTTACTAGAATCCCACCACTCCACCACAGAGTCACCGCAGTAGACGTTAGATGGAGTGCTGTCGCTCCGCGGCACTTGTTAATTTATTTGTATATATGTATGTGAACTCCAGATGCGCTCCCACTCAGTAGTTAATGAATCGTCGTTACTCTCCGTGCAGGTGGCGTTTATTACCGCGGTGGCACGGGGCTCGGCGAGGCATGACTGAGGTGCTGTCCGCGCCTAGGTGCCCAGGTCGCCATCGCCAGCCGCAAGCTCAGCGCTGCTGGAAGAAGCCGCGGCGGAGATATCGGTGAAAACGGGCAACAAGGTGTGAACGAGGGTGTAGTTAAAAGCAGGGAAGTTATTAGGGCTGTAACGATCCACCGAAATCGAATCGGATCGCGATTCTCTTCCTTCGATCCGATCCTCGATATTTTTCTCCGTATTTTCGATTCCACTTTGATACCACTTTTTCCTCGCAATAGATGGCGGCACTACCGCAAAATTGTTAAATACGCATCTACTACTACTACTACTAACTACTACTACTACTAGACGACTACTGCTAGTACTACTATTACGCCAATTGTTAAATATAATTGAGAAAAAGAAAGAATGTAATAGTTGGTTAAGAGTTTTTAGTCATCTGACGTAGTCAGGTGCAGCTTGTAGAATCGCATGATTGTCCGTCTGTCCGGCCGTCCAGGCGTCCGTTCCGTTAACAGTTTGGGCACAAATCTTAACCGCTCGACGTACGGTCACGATATTCGGGACGTAGGGGGGGTAATCCGAAAACGAGTTGGGATGTCGAAGCTGGGGGTCAAAGGTCAAAGGTCAAGAGGTGTAAAAAGAAGGGGAACATTCCCTCCTTAACTTAAAGATATAGGAGGAAATGCAGAATTGCGCACAAATCTAAAACGCGCTCGACCTAGGCTTGTAATAGTCGGTGTATAGCATCATGGTAGGAAAAGCCATAACTGTGCCAAAATTGGAGATCACAGGTCAAAGCGTCAATGGGGCACAGGGGAGATTTTAGACATTTTCTGAGGACATGGTCTGACGGAGCGATTGAAAAACTTTTTTGTTTCAGCGGTGACCTACCATTTTATGGCTTTATTGAAAGGACCATGAAATGTACTTTCCGCTGACATGCGAAGAGTAATTAAGTGTCGGATAACCTTTTGACTCTCAAGAGGAGGGTTAAACATGGATTTTGTTTACTGTTAGAAATAATTTGACTGCTGGGTTTGCTAGTAGAATCTATACATGCCTGGATGTATGAGGCTACAATGTCACAGTAAAATTTCAAAAGCTAAATTTGGTTGCAAGAAGGTTTTATTGCTCGCTTAAATTGTATAATTTCTATGGCATTCTGTACTGTCAAGTGTGTTACATGTAACCAAGAGCTAATAACATACCTAGAGTGTAACAACGAAAAAACGGAAAATAGTGCTATTTCACGGCAATATTATTCTACTTTGGTTGCGAGTTCTAGAAAAATTGTATGGTATTGCATTAAGCAGAATTCTTTGCTCTCTAAAACAAGACCAACTGCTTGTCACTACGATACTCCTATAAGCTGAGATATTTGCTCATAAACTTCCCCTCCCACAGGCCTCACGGCACCTCTCATCCACAATATTCCCTAACCTTCTCGCTTTTTGCAGGTCTGGCTATCGTTTTCCGTCGCCCTTTCGAGCGCTGATAATTGATGTCACATGCCCAAATTTGGTACTCTTAATACACCATAGTAACTGAGCTGCATTGTAGAGACTTAATTTAGAAAACATTGCCGGCTCCATCATTACGGGAATTAGCCGTGCTAGGAAAGATAATGGGAGATAAGGGCCTAGGTCATGTAGCGTGATTGAACCCACGAAAGTCACCGATGATACCGAAACACACTTCGATTCTTCATAAAGTCATCGCGGAAAAACCGAACTTTCACGAAGCGACTTTCCTAACCCGCAAAAGGCGAGAAGGTTAGGGAATATTGTGGATGCGAGGCGCCGTGAGCAGTGGCGTACGCAGGATTTTCGAAAGGGGGGTGTTAGGAGCACGCAAAGGGGGGTGGGTCTGAGGGGCTCTCCCCCAGAAATTTTTTGAAATTAGCACCCCTCAGATGCGTTTTCTGCGCGAGCATGGGGGTCCGGACCCCCTGGACCCCCCCTGTACAGCGCCCTGGTAACTGTAGACTCTGATACTGTGTGCGCGCTTGCACTGAACGGGTGGGGTCCCCGGGGTAGTTTCATGATTCATCAAGAGCAGCGTACGCAAAAAATATTTTGCGTAAATCTTGTGTGCGTACACAATCGACGTTGCTTAGTTGCGCGATTTAATCAACGCAGTTATTTAGTAAATTTACTCAAGCGAGGTCGTTTTAGGTGCGATTAAATCAAGCTAAAATTTACGTAAACCTTTGCGTAGGGAGTGTGTATGTGTCAGAGAGAGAGAGAGAGAGAGAGAGAGAGAGAGAGAGAGAGAGAGAGAGAGAGAGAGAGAGAGAGAGAGGAGAGAGAGAGAAAAGGATGTGTCCGTGCGCAGTAGTGTGTGTGGTGTGAAGAGAGAGAGAGAGGGAGGGGTTGCGTGTTTGTGTTTGTGTATGTGACAGAGAGAGAGAGAGAGAGAGAGAGAGAGAAAGAGAGAGAGAGAGAGAGCGGTGCGTGCGTGCGTGCGTGCGTGCGTGCGTGCGTGCGTGCGTGCGTGCGTGC